CCAGGCAGGAGTTTTCCCTGTGAGGGTGGTGAGACACTGGCACAGGTTGCCCAGGGAGGCTGTGGCTGCCCCAACCCTGGCAGTGTTCACAGCCAGGTTGACTAAAGCCTTGAGCAACCTGCTCTGGTGGGAGGTGTCCCTGCCCAGGGCAGGGGTTGGGCCTTGGTGATCTGTAAGCTCCATTCCAACCCCTTAACATACTATGATTTTATGGAATAGTCTCAAGCTGTGCCCAGGGGAGGTTCAGGTTGGACACCAGGTGGAATTTCTCCATGGAAAGGGCTGTCAGGCACTGGAATGTGCTGCCCAGGGCTGTGCTGCCCAGGGAGGTGGTGGAGTCGCCATCCCTGGAGGTGTCCAAGGAACAACTGGACGTTGGACTCAGTGCTCTGCTCTAGCTGATAAGGTGTGATGGGTCACAGGTTGGACTTGATGGTCTCGGAGTTCTTTCCCAGCCTCTGTGGTTCTGGGACTCCATGGGCACAGGGCACTGACCCAGTGTCAGTGCACAGTGCATGGAAACAGTTTGTGAGTTGCTCCTTCCCTTGCAGGGTCACAGTTTCCTCAGGGGATGCCAAGAGCACTTTGAAGTGCTTTACAGACTTGTTTGCTGACAAGGTTTTTATAATATGCTTATTGAGGCTCATTTCTTTGTCATTTCTAAACCCTTACCCCTCCAAGGAGTGCAGCATGGAAGAGTTCAAAGATGCAAGTCCACCTGAAGAGCTGCTCCATCACTTAAAGCTTTCTGATGAGAAGTCCTCAGAGACTGACCCCAGAGGTGCCCAGAACCCCCAGAACACTGGGAGTGGACACACACCATCCTCAGGCAGAGATCCCTCAGCAGCAGACGAGTGTTTCCATGACTGTCACGAGTCCTTTGAGGCCAAGGACCCTGTGCTGGATGAGGAAGAAAACGTACAGGGCGATGGGAGTAGCTCGAGGAAGCAAACAGAGCCAGATGAAGAATACTTACTAGAACTGGAAAAGGATATGCCAGAGGAGGAGAAACAGGTAACCCAAAGCACCAGGGTGGATATATAAAAAGAGATGATTTCAGTGTCAGGGGTTTGGATGCTCTGTGACTGACCCCAGGATGCACCTTTAGAGCCCTGATGTGTCTGGTTCTACTGCTCTTAACGTCCTCTCTTAGATAACAAATATTCCTGTTGGCTTTTCTTGCTGCTCTTAGTCATCACATTCTGCTGCAGGTTTTTGTCTGCTCTGACCAGTGTGTGAGGTGACTGACTCACAGATTAGAGACACCAGAATCTCCCTTGCCATGTTATTTGGTGTGTGTGAATCCATTGTTTTCCCTGATCAGCTGCCAAGTGCTTGTCCAAAACTCCTAGCAGGTTCCAGGACAGTTTTCATAGCTGAAGTCTGGTTCATGTAGTCCAGTCAGTGGGATTCAGTTTGAGAGGATCCCCATAGATTACTTGAGCTTTAATCAAACAAAACACATGAAATGCGAAGCTTTGTTTACTTTCTGTGCAGTTGCATTGGACAAAAAGTTTGGGGAACAAGGAAATAGATCTCCGTGGAAGTCTACCCACCTCTGTAATGGTGTTTACTCTGCTCTAGGCCTGTGTGAACCAGTTTTTGACCCTCAGTCAGTGCTGTCATTGGAGAGCACTTAGTTCTCAGGGTTCTAAGATACTATGTCATCAAGTAGTTAGAAAAAGAGCTTTTTTTCTTGTGATTTTGATAAACTTGTCAAGTCACTTTCGGGATTAGACTCTTCACTTGAGCAATGCAGTGGGTTTCTGCTGGTAATTATTCTCCTGGCAAGTGGTGGAAGCATTTTACTGATTTAGGGAGTACTTTTTTCTGATTTTTTTCAACATCAGTTTGGAAATGTTGGGAGAGTAAAGATTTTACTAAGGAGTACTTTTTTCTGATTTTTTCCAACCTCAGTTTGGAAATGTTGGGAGAGTAAAGACGTTAAACTAAAACCTGTGCCCAACATACAACTCCTGGTGATCTGGGAGTTTCCAGAATAAAACTCTACAGCTGTACCACACACTCTCTGCCCTGTGCTGTTCTCCCAAAGTGCTGTCACTGCTGTCTGTGCTGTGTGAGTAGGAGTACTTTTTTCTGATTTTTTCCAACCTCAGTTTGGAAATGTTGGGAGAGTAAAGACGTTAAACTAAAACCTGTGCCCAACATACAACTCCTGGTGATCTGGGAGTTTCCAGAATAAAACTCTACAGCTGTACCACACACTCTCTGCCCTGTGCTGTTCTCCCAAAGTGCTGTCACTGCTGTCTGTGCTGTGTGAGTAAATAACTCTGGTTGTACAATGCCCAGAAAAGTTGGAAGGAGTTGGAAGTGCTCAACAGTAGCTTGACTAGGTCATGGCCTACTGGCAGATACTGTGAGTAGAGAGTGAGGGGCAGAAACATGCAGAGTTGTGACACCAGAAGCAGCCAAACATCTGAATGGTTTTTTAGAAACCAGTTTGCAGAAATGGCATCAAGCTGTGACCTGCTGGTGCTGTGGGTTTTCAGGCCAAAATGCATCAGTGAAGAGAAAAATGTAGTTTTTCACCTGTGGTACAGATTGTGTTAATGTAATGTCCCCTGAGGTGGAACAGCAATGTGGACTAGAGGGGCAGGGCAGCATGGAACAGTCTCCTCCTTGAAGTAGGACTGAGAGTAAACATAGCGCTTTGCTGCTGGACCTTGTGCAAGTCACATCGTGTCTCTCTGTCTCAATTTGGATGTCTGTAAAATGAGCATAATGCTGCTGCCAGTTGTGACACTTCCTAAACATTCTGGTCATGAAAAGATTCTGTTAATGCTGCAGCACGAAGGAAATATGCAGTCACAGTGTGAAAACAGTGCTGTACATTCAGTTGTTCAGAGCTTTTCCGGCATTTCAAACCTCCTTCCAGTGACTCAAAAGGTCCTTCTCTGAGAAGGGCAGCATGATTTATGTTCTGTTGCAGCTGCAGAACACGAGGAAGAAGTCTCAGAGCTGTTTCTGCAGCCTCCTGCCCTGTGCTGGCACACCTCGGTGTGAGTGTGCCCTGCACCCCAGGGAGTGATGCGGGTGGAAGCCAAGGCTGTATTTTTAGATCAAGGGCAGTGCTGGTGCAATCAGCTGTCCCAGCAGCCTCCCCCTGCACCCATGAGAGATGGATTGGGGTTTAGGCTATCTGCCTCAGTAAGAAAAGCTCCCTGTGACCTATGGGCACAGCCCCAGCCTTAAACCAAGGCCGTGGGCAGAGCTGGATGTCAGCCCTGCTACATCCCATTTGTGGAGCTGCACTTCGATGCTTGGTGGGGTTTTTTGTAAATTAATACCATTGATACGTTCTAGCAGCTTTGATAAATGAGTTCTGTTGATTGAAATTCTGCAATAATAGGCTGTAGCAAAGGTCCCTGATTCATTCTGGAGCTCCAGAGGCAGATTCCAGTGCTTGCTCTGTGTGTTTATGTTACCCCATGTGCAATCTGCCACGACAGCAGCTCTGAGTGGAAACACTCACCCAGGCAGAAGCTGCTGCGGAGATCTAAGGGAAGGATGAGTGCTGTGCATTCTCTCCAATTCCATTTCAAGAGCCCCATGCAGTGAGATTGCTAATTCCAAGCAATGGGAATTCCTTCCAGGGAAGCAGGACTGACACCTCAAGGAGCCTCTGCACAATGAAGCCAAATAAGAACTTGAAGGGATATTAAGACACAAACCTGCAAGAAGTGTCCCCAAAAGCAGGTGCAGCCCTGAGCCTGGTTGCTTGCCTGGGCCTGCACCTCTGAGGTTTGGAGAAATTAAAACCCAGACTCAGTTTCACAAGGTTTTGTTGCTGTTCCAAAGGATGCTGCTTGCTGCCTCAGCAGAGGCACTGAGCAGCAAATTGCTTTTGATGCATTGCAAACAGATTTTTCTGGCCAGTTGTCACTGACAGTGATGGCTTTGACATTGGCCTAGTCTGCAGAATTAATCAGAGGACACCCAACAGCTGTTGCAGGGTAATTGTCTCAGCCTGCCCTGCTCCTTCTGAGGGACACCCAGCAAGGAGGAGTGTATCCAGCAGCCAGGCTGGAATCCCTCACGCTCTCCCTTTGGGACAGATTTGGACCTTGCCTGGCAGAGACTTAAGCCCTGGCCTTGTGAGCTCTTAGTTTGGATCCCCAGCACTGCTTTCTGTGAGACACTGGAATAAGTACCTCATGTTCCTCAGAGCAGTCCCTTCCCTGGCCTGGTCCGTTGCCTGGGACCTGCAGCTGGCTGGAATCACACTCTGTCTGTTCTCACAGCAGCACATGTGTCAGCAAGGCAGGGAATGCAGCTCTAGGAGAAGAGATCCTTGATTAGTGTCAGGTTAGCAGCTCTAAGAATTGAGTGAAACTGATGCTGAGAAATAGTATTTTTGAGTATCCCTGAGATTCTTTCTGGGCTAAACAGTAACATTTCCTTTTTTTCCCCCCCTGTTCTCTGCAGCATCACTAGGATACATGAGAGAACATTGTCTTCATGAAGACATTTCCTTTAACCTCCCCTTCCTCCCTCTCCCTTTTTTCCCTGTGCCTCCAGTTTGATCCTATTGTTCTCCATAAACAGAATTTATTTAGTTCTTTGTGCAGAATTGGCTTTTCCAGGAGTGGAACAACTGACCTGGGATTTCTGCTGCAAGGGCTATGGGAAGATGCTGACCCTGTCAAATTGAGCCTTTTTCTGCTGGTGCTGATGCATTTAGTGCTCAGCTCCACTTCTGCTTGAGGCTATTGTTGCCTCTGGAGCAGGAGCAGTGACTGACACGTCTTGTCACTCCTGAGTCACCACAGTCAGTGTGGCGTGTTAACCTGAGCTGTCAGGAGGGCTGTGACCCACCGTGGCTGGTTGGACCCCCAAGAAGAGATGGGGATTTGGTAGTAATGTGCCTTTCCCATGGAGTCAGAGGGAGCAGGGACAGCCCAGGGTCTGTCAGTGCTCATTGCTCTGTCACCTCCTGAGTGTCCAAGGCAGATTTGGCAGATTTCAAGGGTTTTTTTGAGTGAGTACAACCTTAGACTGAAATTCAGCTCCTTGAACACAGGACACAGCAGTAGCTTCCCAGAACTGCAGGGGGAAGCAGATGCTAATGAATGACTTAGAACTGGGATTTGAAGCTGAAAAATACATTCCTTATCTGTTCAAACTCCTTGTTTCTGTGCCCCCTTTGAACTACAGTGTTTGTAACCTTCCAGAAGGGTGTGTGAGGTGCAGGTGTGAGGCTCACACTGTGTGAGTGGAGAGGAGAGAGCACAGGTTTGCTGCTCCTGCCAAAACTGGAGCCAAGAACAGCTCCCAGCAAAGAGAAATCAATTACCAAACCCAGTGCCCAGGGGCAGCCAGAGGAAGCACAGTTGGGAGCTTGGCAGACTGAGGGGTTTGTCCTTCAGCTCCTGCTGGCTCTGCTCAAGGAGTTCACTTCCAACACTCCTGTTGGATCAGTTACTTCCCAGCCAGGCACTGAAAATGTGTAGCTTGCTGAATTCTCTGATAGCACAATAATGCTTTAGTGCTGCTATTTTTACCCCTGAGGTTTTGGCAGAGTAGCTGAGGTGCAGGGACTGGTTTTGATGTCCTTGCTTTGGGATTGTTGTGCTTTCTGTCCTCTGCCATGACTTCAGTACCTCCTGCTTGCCAGGAAGGTTTGTGTTAAGACACTAATTTCTTCTGAGTGTGGAATTGATTCAGTATCCAAATCTAAACATTTCTCATGAGATCCTGTAAGAATTCCATGTAGTTATTTCTTCTGCACTTTAAAATCTATTTCTTTCACCTTGTGCATCATTTTCTTTCACCTTGCACTTCACAAAGTAGTGCTGTCACTTGGAATCTGTCATCTGTGTTAACAGCATCTGCAGAAAACCCCAAACCTGCAGATTTTGCTGACTGTGGAGTGTAAATTGGGAAGTTGTGCCTGACCCCAGTGCTGTGTGAGCAGCCTGAGGGGATGGAGCAGGTCAGGGTGGCTGTTCCTTAGGCAGAGCATTCTAGGAGCTGAGCCTGACCTACTTCCCTGGCTGGGGAGAGGCCACTCTGCCCTGCAGCTACTGAAATCTTCCTCTGCCAAACATGAGGGTGAGGACACTGAAATGACATTGCGCAAAATTTGGCCCAGGGACAAGTCACTTGCAATTTTTCCCCTCTGGACTGATATGATCACAGCAAACTGATGACCAGTCACTTTGCAGTTGTCCATCCGAGCTGGAAATTGGGCAGCCTGAGTGCAGAGCTGTGTCCTCTCACACAGGTCTGGGTTTCTTCCCCTGGATGTGAAGAGCAGATAGGCTCAGCCAAAACAGTTGACTTTCCACTGCTTTTGTGTTGGGATTTTCTGCTGAAGGAATGCCTAAATGAAGGAACAAAAAATGTCTTTAGGGTCTGAGGAGCTAACATTTTTTATGCTTTCCCATTTTGTGGAAAAGCCCAAGGAATTTGCTTTCAGGGCTGGTCTGTTCCTATTGCTTCTTGGTCAGTCATCACATTCAAACCCAGAGAGGTGCATGAGGTGCCCTAGAGACTTCACCTTTTACAAAACACTTTGAACGTGGACACTTTGGAACTGATCACATTGCACAGAGATACCTGGAGAGTGTTTGATTTGCAGGCAGGAGGCAAAGCAAGGAACAGGCCTGAGGAGGAGACTGGTATGAATCATCAGTTCCCAGTGTGACAGTCCTTAAAATCCCTTCAGCTGCCCACAGATTCCTCCTGCCCATTTCTCCCACCATGGTCTTCCTTCTGTGCCATGGAGACTCACCATCCTCTTGGCTCCCTGAGAGGAAATCCCACAGCTGAAGAATTTATTTGTGGTTGGTTTTTTTACTCTTTAAATATAAAGTTTATTCTTCTGGAGCTTTCTTGCTGCACATCACATTTTATATTAGTGTTTAATACTTTACCAAGGTAAACATGTAATATTTTGTACTAATTTTTACCACAATGAAACAAAATATTGATAATATCAAACTTTTCATCCAGAATTCCTCCATTTTTGGGTTTCTGCCTGAGGAATGCCATGTTTGTAAAGCAGATTCTGTCGTGGTTGCAGAGCTGTAACTGTAGCCATGAGCAGTGAATCCCCTAATGGCACTGAAAGGCCAGTGCTAAATAGGTCATGAGCAATGAAGTCAGTGGGGCTTGTGTTTCAGGCACTGCTTGCCTTGAGTGAGGGTTGGTGTGGAGAGCTCCCAGTGGGATCACCATCCCCAGGCCTGCTCTGTGCTGGGGTGTGGCTGCTGTGCTCACTGCTGTGAGAATGCTGTGCCAGCTCTCGCTCTAGGTGCATTCAGGATGGTTTAAACTCCCTTCGTGTGGAGCCCAGGGAGTGTGACAGTGGCTGTGCTGGAGCTGCTCTGTCTGGTGCTTGGAATGGTTGTTTCAATGTGAGGAGTAATGAGTATTGGAAAACATGTTTAATAGGCAGTAGGAGCGAATGCAGTGATTTAGACATGGATGGGAAGGGCCAGGGGAGAGTTGGCTGTGAGTCACAGCCCAGTGCCCTCACTGGGCCCAGTCTGCAGAGCACTGAGGTCTGGTGCTGCTCAGGTGGTGACAGTGCTCAGGTGAGTCACTTCAGAAGGAGAGAGCTCTGAGCCTGCACTGTGTGAGAGCTGAGAGCTGCTGCAGTGCTGTGCACAGAGCTCTATATTTAGCTGTTTCCAAGGAGATGTTCTGGGCGATATTGATAATTGCATTAATCCTTGGTTCACACAGGCTGCAGGAAAGGCAACTGCTCCTTTGCCTAGGGTTGGCTTTTTAATTGCTCCATGGTCTGTAGTGAAGAGGCACTGGATTGAAGTCCTGTGTGTGCACTTGTGTGTTGGGAGCAAAATCAATGGCCAGATGTGTATTTCCCTACCACAGAAAGGCTCCTTGGAGTCCCTGTGTCTCACAGAGCTCTGCTGTGAGGTGCTGTCTGCATGGCAGAGACCTCCCTTGTCAGTTGGTGAAGGGATGGCTTGGTGCCCTCCTGTGTTGTCTGTCAAAGGCTGAGCCCTCATGTCAGCCTCACTTGTGCCAGGAGTGCTGTTAGCATATTCATGGCTGAAAACACAACTCTGCTCAGTGTGTGCAGCAATCACTGTGTAACACAACAATCCTCCTGCTCCTGCTTCTGGTGGTTCAGTCACTTTTAGGGGCAGTGTTAGCCATGGACCTTTTCAGCTCAAGGTGCTTTGTCCGTCTCTGGAAGTAACCAGGAATTGCTGAGGTTGAATTATTTCAAGCAAAAACTTTACATTTAAAATCTGTTCTGCATAGCTGCCCTGCACTGATGGAATTAAATTGGGTTGGAAAGGAGAAGCAAACAGCAGCTGAAATGGTGGTGGGTTGGTTTTAGCCATGTAATCCACTGTGATGATCCCTCTGCATCCTGGTGTCCATGGACTGGAGCTTTTCAATGGCCTTGTTGGTCCACTCCAGTGTTCATGGAGCAATAAAGTGTATCATGTCACAGTGGCTACAGCGAGGGATCTGGTAGGAATTAGCATTCTTGGGGTTATGTTTTATTCTGACTCCCATTCATACTTCATTTGGAGCCAGAGCTGACCTACTTGCTCATTTCAGTTAAATACTGTGAGACATTGTCTTTTCTTTTGCAGCAAAGAAGAAAGGAGAGCACAACGCTGAAGGAGAAAGGGAATGAGCAGTTCAAGAAAGAAGGTGGGTTGAGAATCTTTTAACACCATATGGGTGTGAGAGAATCTTAGAGCAATACTTAGCCATTGTGGTGATGCTGCAGAAGATAGGAAGATCTCACACCTATCCTTGCTCGGTTTTATCACCTGTGCCATTTTCCATCCAGCTCTGGAGAAGAGCAGGAGGTACCAGACCTCCTTTGGAGCTGTTTCAAGCACACAGACTTGGATGGCCAAAGCAGGAGTCTCAAAGCCAAGTGTTTAGGTCCAGGGACATGGCAGAGACCTGACTGCCTGCCAAGTGCCAGGGTTTCTTTGACAGATCCAAACAGCTCCCACTGGGCTCTGAGTCTGGCTGATGTGTGTGCTGAGAACTGCTGCAGGACACTGGAGCTCTCCTGTGCCTTTACACATTGCTTTGAATTAAAAATCATGCAGGGGAAGTAGCTCTGACACCTCTCATTTCATGTTCTGGGGGATGGAGGATTCACAGAGAAACAAGGAGATGCAGATTCCTGCCTTCCTCAGCCAGCAGGGACACAGCCAGGCCAGTTGCCTTCCTGCTGCAGCTCTTTGTGTGTGCTAGGAGCACAAGGTTCCTGGGGAATTATAGGTCAATTCAGGAAAGCATCAGGGTGGGCAGAAGGAAACTGCTCAGACCAGGAAAGCCACAAGCCTCTAATGTTGGCTGAATCATCTTGTGGAGTCTCACCCACAGCCTCTGCTTGGCAGGTTCCTTGGCAGATGTTCTCAGGGCTCACTCAGCAGAGGGGCACAACTCAGAGGCACCTGGGTGGTCTCCAGCCACATGCCCAGCAGG